TCATTGGGGTGCAGGTACATCCAGATGACGAATCTTAAATAGGAGACGAGGCTGTGTACAAAAAGACCCGCTTCATATTCCACAACTAACACATTATATATGAGAAGGGAAAAGACGTAATCCTATTTTCCTTCAAAATGTTTGTGATTAAACAATACCGTGAGCCACATCGAGGTTACACATAGAATGCCGGGAAAGGCGGGTATATCACCTAATGAGACTGTAAGGTTGTTGATTGAAATAACTGATATATGTTATGTACGTTACCTAATTCGATGCATGTTACCTGAGTCAGGATATAGTTCAAAGCAAATATGCGGATACCAAACTAATACACAACGCCAACACATAAAGTCATCAGTTGTTATTTTGTACTGTGCAGACAGTTGAAAATTGACCACAATTTCACCAAAGTATTCACTATTCACTACCAACTTTGAAATTCTGAACACAGTTTTTCATCTATACCATGATGTCTTTTCTCCTGTTTATTTTGATAACTTTCTACATAATTATTTTTCGTTTCTGTGCTAATGCAGTGTCGTACTGTTACACAATATCCTAAGTTACTATGTATTTTTCATCTGGAATCAAAATTACCTTACTAGCACAAGAAAAAGGTACACAGACATCCGTACATCTTTAACATATAGGTGTCTAACAATTTGCTGCTGAAACAATCCTAAACAGAACGATGTATGTGAACTTACTTCACTACGCCTACATTTATCAAAAAGTTATCTTACCAGCTGCTAAACATAAACAACACATAAAGATAAACCGCAATGAATCTACTTGACTTTGATTTACAGGTCAGCTGGAACACCTAAATGAACCATTTAAAATATTCCAATGCTTACGTTAATCATTCCTAAACCAAGTTTTCATAAAAGTCAGAATTGTCAACGGAATCTAATAAAAGGTTTGACTAAACAGTTTAACGGATAAACCAAAATATATCCCTTAACTTAATGAGGTCGAAGGACAGAGACATATTGGTTGAGGTTTATAAATGGTTGAATCACTTTGAACAGACGCTCAGATAAGTAGATTACAAATCTAACAAAGACCAGTTAAAAAATGATGAGTAACTGTAACCAACATCCTTCAGGAAAGTAAGAAAACAAGTAACAGCTACACAACTACAACCATGACGTTCAGTGTTTCACATAATTAGATGTAATACAGATCCACATCATAAATGAAGTGTTTTCATTGCATTGTTCACGTTTGGTGGAATTACCGTACGAGCAATGTTGAGATCAGGCAAAGAATTGATGAGGTTATACACTTTCATTATCTGAGGTGCCTACCTCGACGTAAAATGCTGGAGGAGAAGTTGAAACAGGGTTCAGGATGACCAGACCAAGACGTGACACCAGTCCATGAAGTCTCTCACTGTTGGTCTGAGCCGTTTAGGAAGATTTAGACTATATGATTGGGGTCCTAGAGACGTTAGGAATCAGTGGTTGGAGGCTCTTGGTGACATAATTGAAAATCGGTCACTGGCAGAGAGGTAATCACTCCGTGATGTCTTCTAAAGCTTAAACATTTGCACTAACCGTTATCCTTAAATTGTCTATTTTCCCACACACCTTTGTCTACCTTGATATCAGTCCTTTTCTATCCACCTGTTTTTGTAAACTACAGTACTTTGAAGTGTGGCAACATGAACCAATGGACTTGTCTGTGATTTTTTACGTTGATTCTATCTGCTTGTATGACACTTTATATCGAGAAACTAAAATATGCAATATATATATATATATATATATATATATATATATATATATATATATATATATATATATATATATATATACCCTTGAAGGATGAAGAAATAGATTAAACCAACAATTGTGCAGTTTTATGCAATACGGAGGGTGATACTTTCTGGAAAAGCAAATATTGGTAGGTGGAGCGAGATTCTATGATTCAGCCTACGGTTTGACAGTTAATTTTCTAGACAAATGAGTTAAAACTTCCCAAGCTGAATTTTTTGAGATCCGCTTAGCAACTTTAAACACACTTTGGAGTAAGTGGTGGGCCACACCTACTGGGTGAGGGCTAAAGATACTTACTACCTGGTTGCCCAGACCATGGTAGGTGGAGCGGTGTTGGTACCCGTGACTCAACGGCTGGTACTTCAGTCTTTAGACCAATAAATCACAACTCCACGAAATAAACATTTGAGGAACTACCGCTACATTTTTTAAATTGTCTTAGAAGTTCCAATGATGAGTAATTAATGTATGTCACATTTTTGCATACAATCGTAACGTCAAATGTAGTTAGTGATAGCATGCATAAAATATGAAACTAGATATTTTGAGGGAAGCAAGTATCTAAATCACTAAGATGAATAGGAATTAAAGAAGAATAGATAAAAAAAAGCGCTCAGTTCACCTAATGAAATCAAAACTTATCGCAAGTCATATGAATTGCTGATACAAAGTCAACTACATTTGCAGTAGACAGACCACTTAGTAGACAAGATAAATAATATTGTCTTGTTAAGTGTGAAAAGAAACAAAGACCGTGAATATTGTGTTTGCTGAATATATATCACAGTCGTTTTACAAAATCTGCAAGTAAATTCCAAAACTTCACAAATAAAAGTTTCAGCAATTGTAGACTAATTCTTACAGTAGCAATTTGCACATGAATTTCATCATATAGAACAACTTTCATACTGAAACATTTTTAAAAGAGACTTCAGAAACTGCATATGAGCTACAAATCACTAGGCATAATAAGACATTTTTGAATGAGATTGTGAGCTATCATCCTTACATAGGGAAATGTACAGTGTTTCCTCTCTGAAAAACAGCTCATTAACATTTCTACTCAACCAAGTAAAGACAGATTTGACATTTAAAGGCTATCTGTTAAAACTGATTCATATTAAAAAGTGCCTTTATCAATTGTAAGAAGATGGAAGAAAACATCTGATTTGAATAACTGTGATGCGTATTGCGATGCGTTCTTTATGGACATATGCAAAAGAGTCGGTACTGTCCTACTAAGATAATCTGTTTGATTTGCGGCTGTACATATTTATGCATAAAATGTTTACAAAATGAGATATCCGATGAAACTAGTGGTTAATAGGATGCATGACAAAAGTCTAACTCAAAATGGTGGCATATACGATTTTAAAAAACGCAAGAAAACTGGATCTCAACTCAAAATCCACGTGTGTTAATACAGTGGACAATGAGCCTCACCTATTGAGTGAGGATTAGTGATACTACCTGATTACCCATAACTAGGTAGGTAAGGGTGATCTGAATCAATGAAAAGGTGCAGAGAACAAAGAAGCGATCCGATTATACAGAACACATGCTAGAAACTTCAATAACCTCATACTAACTCCCCAAAAAATTCCATGTTTAAACAAGAATCAAAATTGGCAAGCTATTTATTGAAGCGTATTGTTACATTTAGCTTACACAACGAATAAGCTACATATTCAGGAGAAGAACAAAGTAGTGTATGACCTTATATAGCCGTGTGTCGGTAGGTTTCTACATTTTACCACACAAAAAGGGACTTATTATAAGGAAATCAACGGAATGAAAATGATGGTAGCATTAGTGGTAGGCTATTGAAAACGTGAAAGGGAAAGATACTAAGGCAATTGATAAGTTACACTAAATACCATCTTCGGTGTTTGGAGAAAAGTAAACACATTTAAATGTGGTGTTTTTCACTACGCACTCACTTTTCTCACTTCCTAGTAACATTCAAGGTATAGAGAATATTTTAGGACAGTTAGGTTAGCTAGACCTTCAAAGTTTATGAACAGAAGTTTGATGATATAAACATAGATATAATTCAATTAGTGTTGTGTTACAAAATCATTCGTTAAACTCAGCACGGCTAATATCTAAAACATCCACAATGAACGTCGAAGTAAGCAACTTTATGAATGGTTGTTTCGAAATATATTCATAATGAATAAACGGTTGTGAATCAAGTCAGTATTTTAGAGAAAAACATCTTCAGTTTGCGAAGCCAATCAGAAAATATGCATCGAGTTTGCGGTGTACCATATAAAATATATGCCGTAAATACTTCAGTGCCTTTGAGGCCTACGTTCAGAAGTAAAATACATGAAGTTATGGAAAGCAATTGTCATTCCTATAAGTTAAGATCTGCTTGAGCAATACACTAACTTCTAGACTTTGTCCACATAAAAAACAATCCAAGGTTGGCAACATGAATATTTCAAGCTCATAATTATCATCACCAGCGTAAGACAAGGTATTAATGCATAACGGTTCTAGTTGTCATACCTCACATGATTTCAAGATCAGGTCACGACAAATGCTGAACAGCGTTGACAGACATTTAAATCAAACGTTCATAATGAAAGATGGTGTTGCAAAAACTATTCATAAATACCTACAGGCCTCATAACTCCCAGACATCATACAATTAGAACTGCTAAGTTATGGTCAGAAGGTGATTGACAAGGAATGACATCAAGGTTCAACGATAAAAGATGCATTAAAATAGATTAAGCGAAGGATAACTACACCAGGATGCTTAACAGCAACATAAAGAATTTTGAGTGGTTTGATGTCTACACGAATTGATATCTGAATCTCCCTTTTACATAAAAATACCTGAGTTACCATAATACAGTTAACTCGTGTAAGTGCGAGTTCAAGTTACGGAAAACGGAAAGCAAAAAGAAAAAAACATTTAAATAACGGATCATGTCTTAGTAAACAAAGATATGAGCACTGACTGTTTTTGAAGATAATACCACTTTTAGAAATGTAGCTAGTTCCTGATAATAAGTATCATGGAAAACTAACTGCACTATTTAATTATTAAAATATATGTGTTCCAACACAAATGGGACTAAACGAGTAGTATCAGCTGCCATATGAACAATACAACAGACTTAAGTACATTTACAGACTGAAAGAAGATATGCCGACCGTTGAATTTTAACCGAAAAATTTGTGTAAGAATAGTTAAGAACTTACTTGAGTTTCGCTTTCGATGACCAGCCTGACTTTATCTTCCGTCAGATTTTCAGAGGACTTTTGTTGCTCCTCTTCTTCCCCCTCATCCTCATAAACTTTAACTTCATCTGTGCATGCTAAATTATCAGAAGTAGTGGAGCTTAACATAATTATTGTCTTTAATTCACTGTGCTGCACAACATAAAACTCCGAAAGTGTCAGAAAAATGTAAAAGCATTATTTTCGAGGTGTTAAGCTGTTGATTAACTAATTAGAAATAGAATTATTATTTGACAAGTCTCCAACATGTAAACACGAGGGAGCAATATTAAGTTGCGGATGCAGCGGAATCTACATAACCTTTTTCTAGGTTAGCAGTACAATTAGTTCGTTCATTGATTCAAACAAAGTCCGATTGAGCATTCGTCTCAACTAAATCACAACGAGTAATTTTAGTCTTTTCCCCCCATAAAATAAGGATATTGGTTAGTCGACCGATATTAATTCTGACTAGTGGTAGAGCTGTCTACGTCAAGACACACTTCGAAAGTATCAAGAGAATGTGCTATTGCAACCGTAGGTTCAGTACTCTACTGACCTCATATTTTCACTAAATAGTCTTCCTTTCACCAACCCACTATGTCTACCGCTCTGGAAAATTGGCATTATCTGACAAGACGTTTAAAGACAGAGAACCAGCCGTCAATTTACGGAATGATTGAGTGATTGGTTTTGGTGTCTGCTATGATCCTCATCCCTGCACAACAGCTATATAGAGTGTGTCCTACTCAACACAGGTGAACTTCGGCAGTAGTGTTGCCCTGATGTACATTAGGTCAATACTTGAATCTTCAACTGCGTATCTCCCTTGGCTAGTGGAACACTAGTGGATATTCATGGAGGCAGTCTATGGTGCAGTTATCATGTTACAATTAATCAGGACTCTCGCCGTCTTAAAACGGTCATTACCCAGTCTGTCTGGTCCCACTGTTCGCATGACTCATGATTTACCCAGCCGGGACAGTGTTGCACAACAAAAAATACATTCTAGGCTAGAAACTAATATCCAACGTTACACAAAACTGGCGGTGAGGGTAGTGATAGGTTTTGGATACTTGCATGTAAGTCATGGAGCCTGATTCCTGTTATACGGTTTCTCCTGTGCTTGTAAGGTAAAGTTGATGCTACCGCCGACGAAACCCCCAGAGACGTTCTGAACTTGGATATGGTCAGTTTCCAACTCTGTTCCTTAACAGCCTCTGAAGGAACTAAGAGATAAGGCTGTCTGAGGTTCAAACGATACTATTCGAGGGGTAAGGTTAGCACTGTTTCAGGAATATACCGAAAATATTAACTAAATAATTAGTCCTCCCAAAAAGGTGGGAATTTTTTGAATTAAAACTCAGTTTTTCGAGAAGTGCCCCACACGAAAGGGCTTTCTGTTCATACCTCAAGGTTGAAGAATCAGGCTTCAGATAAGTGGTCGCCCCCACTGTTTGTATGTCCAGCTGAACGTCTCAGCTGCCCAGAATGAAATTTTATTTGTCTGGTTACAGAGACAAACTAACTGTATCTAACTTTCCGTGGTGTTATGAAAAGTCGGAAATTTGACTCCCATGAGTCACCACTAATAAACACCCAACAAGCCTGATCAGCTTTATAGCGAACCAAATGGATTCCGCGAGACTGTCAACTTCATAAGTGTGAACTAGGTTGGTTGTGAGAAAAACTGACGCAAAGTGCGAAACCATCCTTTGGATGGCTGCTTTATATGAGGTGCTGGGCCTAGTGCTTTTTCGCAGTTATTGTTTCCACTAACGGCCATCGTGATAGTAATGTTCAGGGCATGAGTTTATCGGTACTCACTTATGTATATGATTACCACTACACAAAAAATAAGACCTAATGATCCGGAGCCGTTTAGGGCGTAAACCACTATATTTCATTTTAGGATTGGCAACGTGACCCATTCCTAACCCAAACGGCAGTTGCCACCTAGATATGGTGACGAGAGTTGCATATAGTGATAACCCTAATGGCAAGTGCCAGCTGGGGCGCCATTTACTTGAGGTCAAATCATGCAACAAAGTGGTGAGGCATTATACCATTATGGTGGAAACAGACAACGCTATAATGGTAGTCTGAAAATAAAGCCGGGGTTCTGGCTAGACGAAACTGTGGCAGCACTGAGGTGATAACATAGATAATTAGCAGTGCATGGTGATCTCGCCTTTCCAATACAAGGTTAAAACTTTAGGCCACCAAAATAGTACGCTTCTCCATACCTCACGGAGTTCCAGTGTCAGTAGCATGGCCTTTATAGGTCGATTTGACATGGGCACAAATCCCAAACTTCCCAAAACTCTATGTGTGACCCACCACAACCATACGTAGCTTAGGTTTTGTGATCATACACCACTACTGCCGGCCCAAATTCCCTTTCAGATACTTCAGGGAGCCGTCAGCTTCCACAGTATGGGCAGCGGGAACCTGTTAGACGCCCTCACACATCGATTACCTTCCAGTTTCTTTCACGTCATTACTAACCTTCCATACCTTCCCCTTCGAATGGTCTATTACGTCTTCACAGGAATAATCCTACTTCCTAGCTAGCTTCCTCCAGATTTGTAGCCCTTGAAAGCAGTTCAATTTCAAAAACCATCCCCACTTTCTTGGAACCAACAGGCTTTGCCAATTAAAACTCTGGCATTTAGGGTTATGGAAATGAGCTGAATTTTGAGACACGCATACAGATTCCGAGTCTGGTTACGTAACTAGCCTTAACTAGCCAGTTTGGCGAATGGGTGAAATTCACACATCCGGTAGCTGGAGATTTGATGGCTAGTTCTTCCTCCTTAGCTTACGCAGGTATAACATTGAAAATTAAGGCGCAAAATAAACTAATCGACTAGAGTCCAGCTGACAGTTTTCTGTACGCTGTTCAGATGACTTGTGGGGTGAGGTTTAAAAATACTAGTGACACCAGCTGTTGCCGCTTTCTAACCGTTCCTTACACACTCACTGGTCCAGCTCATATGGGGTGAAAATGGGCCCCTCATAGCCTCCTACTTAGGGCCAAACCTTCACATATGGCTATCGTAACAGGTGACTTCAATGCATAAGTACGTAAGGTAAGTCAGGAAAATGGATACATGGATGGCATTTATGGAATCTCAGCCGAACCAACAGATAACGATGATAATACGCTACGTCTTTGCCCAGACAGCCATCGATTTTTGGATAGCATGAACTTCAGAAATAGAGAGAGAAACTGTCTGACGTTGAGTCCACCGGCCTCAATATAGTGATGGACGCAGATAGATAGCCATGCTACCAGCTGTAGCTGGACAGGGTTGGTGGAACGTTATTGTTCCTTTCATGACATCCTTTTCGACAGTGGTCATGTGTTAGTGCGGATGTATATAGATGTGTGCCTAAATGGTTATGGGAAAGCGACAGCAACGAGAACACTAAGAGAGAAGTAGAATGACGCGAACAATAAGGTTACTTTGAGTGAGAGGTTGGTTAGACACCCATTGAAACGGGGTAGTGTAGCTCATACGGAAGAAGCCCGGTCCTATCATTGTTCCACTGTTGAAGTGTTGTTCAAAAATACTTCTGTCTTCCAGGAGGAGGCTATTAAGGGTCAGGGCGTCTCAGCACTCTCTTCAGAACCAGCGGATGGGCGTAAGAACTTTATTATAGGCTGTAAGGTCAGTGTGGAGTGGGTACAGATCAAATTCCTGGTTTCAGAGACTTTGTAGAGTGTCCACGAGCAGTGGTTAGGATCTCAGGTCAAAAGAACAGAAAGGTAGCGGTGATCTGCATCAGAAGATAGGACTTTTGAACGACCAAAGAAAGCAGTTCAAAAGTGGCTGGCGGTTATCGAGAACGCAGTGGAGGAGGATGACACCATGATTAACCCACATGGTAGATGACTGGAATGATCACTTCAAGGAATATTTCAACTGTTCCCCCACTAGTCTCCGCGTGCAGGACACCAGTACAGCCCTGAATGGAATGCCTAACTTATCTTCCTGGTTTTCAAAAAAGCTGAGTGTGCTGCAGGTAATCTAAGAAGGGGAATACCAGACCCAGATGGACTGATACCAACAGCACTTAAGAAAGTTGGTCAGGGATTATTGGATGAATTGACTAAAGTGTTAGCTAGCATTTAAAACTGAACGGGATCCCATCTGACTGATCTCAACTGGTGACAGTTCCAGACTTCAAGAAAGGGAAGAATCCTCTGGCGGGGGCCACAAAGCAGCCAGCCTGGTGAACAAATAACCCTAGACCCTAATCATGTAGCAAATGCAAGTCTAAGCAAAGCCCGGGAACGAAGACCTCAGGAGGACCAACTGGTTTTCAGGCCCGTTCGTAAGCGCCCCAACGTGAGATGCGCCCTTTGCCGGGCTTTGGATAGTTGGCACACTTAACAGCCTCCGGCATTAGCCTTATTTATGGGCCCAGGGAGAGTTAATCGAGTTTTGCTCAGTAGGGGTACTGCATAACTATGTCACCCTGTTGAAGACACTATATTCAAATACTCATAGGTGTGTCTGGGCCCGTGGTTTCAAATATTTGTTGGCGGAGTCGAAAAAGCTATTAAAAATAATAATGTTTTTATCATTATGTAGTGGATTTAACATGAGAGATACCATTTAACAGGCATCAAGCCGGTAATTCCTGAAAATTTACAAAATGATGATTGGCACTAAATGCCTCACATATCAAGTCTGATGCGCGTAATCCGTTAAAACTAGCCACAATAGATGAGACGGATGAGAATTTAACACTGCCCATACGCAGATAGGACCAAGAGCGCTCAATATTCGAAGTCTACGTCATAACTGGCAGACTCTATCAGTCTGTTTGCATAGTTCGCATTTAGTCACGTAAATGTCTATTTGTCAGAAAGTTTTTCAGTCTTTGGCTTCGATATCCACAAGAGACTCATGTATACGATTCGGAGTACCAGTAGGCATCCACAGTTATATGGCTTAGGTAAATGTCTAAATCAATGTATTTCCGGTTCACCATACTAAATTTAGGGGTAACACAGGTGAATATCATTGGGAATACTTGTTGTAGTGCATAGAAGGAGACATTGAAGGAGTAATCGTCCAAAAGGCAGTCATTGCACGTGAACTTCAAAAATATTTCCT